CAAAAGTGACTCAGTAAGACAGCAAGAAACTTGCCCATTCACCCATCTTTAGTCCTTTATTTATCCTTCTACATAAACCATGTAAGCACTTAACTACATGCAAGTCACCATGAAATTGAATGCATTAAGACCCATAGTGGGAGGTGAAACCTTGACCCTGATTTTTTTCTAGGTAGCATCTTCCCCACCTGGAGACTCAAGAGTCCCTCTAGTCTATTTGCCAGACATAGTTTTCTTTCACTGCTATTGATTTTATGCATAATCAGTGCACATAAATTCCTGAACCTACTACAGCCAGTTTTCAAATTCCTTTCCTTTTCTCCTTATTGGCTCTGCATCTTTCTATTCTTCTTGGTTCACTCCATGTGGAGAAATTACTATATGTTTCAATTCCTCCTATAAGCAGTTCTTAGAAATCCCCCTTCTTTTTTTTTTTTTTGTACCAGGGATTGAACTCAGTGATGCTTAACCACTGAGCAACATCCCCAGCCCCTTTTATATTTTATTTTGAGAGAGGGTCTCACTAAGTTGCTTAGGATCTTGCTAAGTTGCTAAGGTTGTCTTTGAATTTGCAGTCCTCCTGCCTCAGCCTCCCAAGCCACTGGGATTATATCCTTGCATTACCACACCTGGCAGAAATCCTCATCTTAAGTGATAGACTTTCCCTTTTGACAGTCCAAAGCCCCAGAAGTTCTTTATTTGTAAAATATCCACATTACATTCAATTTAATTTGCTCCCTGATTCCCTGTGAAGCGTCAAGATATTCCTTTCAATAGCATCCTCTACGTTTTTTGTGTGTGTTTTGAGAAAAATATGAAAATAGAAAATATGTATTTAAATCATTTACATTTAATTTCTTGGATTATTTATAGACTAATTAGGTATAGATTTGGTATATACTAACCCATGAAATAAAATACAAGCAAATCTAGAAAACTAAAACAAAAACAGAAGTAGACCTTAAAACTGATCCTAGGGTCTTGCTTCCTAGAAAACAATTATTAATCCTTATTTGCCCAAATATTTTCTTTCTTTCTAGACTCCAACTTTCATAATTGACTCTGTTCCTTCTAATGACCTCTCTCTACCACAACTTTGGGACCATATTACATTCCTGCCTAACTGCCTACGATATAGACTACCTGATAGCATTGTCTTTTCTCTGAAGAAATGGATTGCTATATAAAGGAATGTCATAGAGATGGTGATAGAGAAAGTAGAAATGGAAAGTGTATGAATGTTATGCCAGCACTCTTCCAAGGAGAAATATTTAACATCTAGATGAATCAATTCTCAAAGTCAGTGGAAATCCTTGTACTACATATAAGCAGCACCTTCATCAACACCTTTCATCCTCTATTCTAGGTGTATAATCACAAAGTATTTACTCAACACATGTTTTTTCCTTGTGGCTATTTATACTCCCACTAGAATATATAATAGAGAAACAGAAATTTTAAAAAGAATCAATTCATTCCAGCAATCAAAAAAAAAATATGTCACTACACACACACACACACTTACATGCACACAAAAATGAGTTAAAGTCACAAAATCAACTACCACTGCTAGTAAAAATATAGCCTTGGCTTTCTATTTTTAATTTTCCAAAATTTGATAGAGGCAGAGGTACAAATTATGCTTTATTTTCTTTTCATTTTTATAATAGAGAACATGGTGCTTTGGTTTTGGAAAGACAATAAGGGATACAGGAAAATTTGGACATGGTATCATGAAGCATTAACAGCTATCTTGCTACACTCTCTAATCTTCCAAGAGAAGTCAAGCATCCCTGTTTATTTAAATAAAATCCACTAACTTTTTAGTTTAGGTGACTATTTTTTTTTTTGGCACAGATTTTGCAATTGCTCTGCCTGATCTACAAATGTCTTCTTGGTACCTTGGTAGACATAAGGCCTCTTTGTTAAGAATAAAAGTAAATTCAGACAGCCACATGACATTTGCTATCCTTCTGGCGTAGTATTCTATGTGACACATGGAATTACATTTCTTTCACCACAATTGGAAAATGTCACCAAACATTCCTGGATTTATGTACAGGAAGAAATATTCCCTTATGGAGAATGAGGGCAGAAGGGTGAGATGGTACAAACCTCTTATAAACTTCATCAAAACATTTCCAGAGTGCTAAAGCTAGGTTGGACTGAAGGGAAACAGTAAACTTGCCTACCTGTTTTCATTCATTCTCCTTTCAGCATATCCTTTCTGTAACTTTTAAATTTTTTATCCTATCTGCTTGTGTCTTATCTGATCTATTTGAGTATCTAAAATTGTAACTTTTGATATGATACATTAGTTATCAGTTCTTGTGAACCAAATACAGTAGTTGTGAGTGGGGTTAAACAAGTCCCTTCTGTTACAGTTAGTATAATATACAGTTTCATGTGTATAACACTATCATTATAAAACAGCCCTTTGAATAAGTTGAGAAATGCATCTTTAAACATTCAGATTAGAAAATGTCCCTCACTTCTCTAGACACAAAAACAGAGCAAAGGGATTTTCAGAAGGAATTCCCATGCAGAGGGCATATGGCTTTGGGCCTCAAGTGAGTGCATGCATTTAAGAAAAGTTGTATGGCCAACATTGCACAAATTTCCTTAGCCACAGTTAAGGGTACAAATGGAGAACAATGAAGAGAGCTTCAGTGTTAATCCTAAAATGTCATGCATTATTTGTCACGTGATAATTTGTATATGTTACCTATTAGTAACCTAAATAAAAATTGAAAATAGGTATCTAGTTTCTTCTCCAACCAAATTTGTTGTTACACAAATCTGAGTGTCAAAGTCAATGTGAAAACTGAGGATCAGTCTATTCCATGTTAATGACAAATTTTCATATGAATGAATATTAATAAATGTACACTGCTTTGAGGTTTAACTCATACATAAGTAAGTGACAGCACCTAGCACAGTCTTTTGAACATGATAGATGCTCCACAAGTTTTACTGATTCAAATTTAAGTCTTGGTGAGTATACCCAGAAAATTTTTTTCCCTTAAAATTATCTAATAAAGAACTTTTCTACCTGCTTCCTATCTTCCCAAGCTAGCATATTTCCTTATTATTTATTCAATGAATCAAGAGTTTTAGAAACTTGAGAATTGGTTTTATGACTCTTAACAGGTAGGTAGCATTTAACTTAAAGGACAGGATTTAAAACAAGATCATAACTGTGTATGAACTGTTACTGTCTTAACGCACCTACTATCCTTTTTATTACATTGATTAAAAAATACCTTAGTACTTTGTAGTAAAGTAAATCAAGGGATAAAGTTTTTTTAACCTCATTTACACAGATGGTTACACTGATATGTGTTTTCAGAGGTCAAACAGAGAACTTCCTCATGGATTATTATTTTCTTTATCATCAAATTTAATCTTTCTAAGACCATCAGAGAGAAATGTGTTCACTTTGAGAGACTGATATTCCTTTGAGATTTGTTAAGTTACTCACTCCCAATATTTTAGTATCCTCTCAAGAAAAATCACTGTAAGATTCCATCTGTGTTGTGACATTTTTCTCAGTTGCCATCTCACTGGTTTCCTGACAGTTCTTCAATAATAGCAGGTCACAGAGTTCATTTCATCAAAAAGTCAAAAGACTTTTTGCATATCTATGTTACTTGTGGTTTACAAATGATGCTTCAGATTTCAAAATTCTGATATAGGACCTAACATCTCTATCCTCAGTTTTTCAAAATGTTTTTTGTCTTTGTCTAAATTTCCAACATTAAAATAAAATCCACAATTACTATAAAATTGCTTGCAAGGGAATTAATAAGTTGAATTAGAATTTTCCTGGTTAGTGAAAACTTCATTCTATGTGTCTTCTCAATAGGGTAGATTCAGAAAAAAGAAATATGAGAATATTTTTTACATCATTTTCCACTCTTTCAGTAACATATTTATTATGGGCATCAATTTTTTTTAGATAAGGTACTATTAATATTGATTAAACTTTAAATACCTAGTACATTAATTTTATGAAAGGAAAATATGAAAAATAAATTTAGACATTATTTTTATTGATAAGAGTTCAGAGTAATTGTCTAAATTTTCATCAGGAATTATTTGTCACACTGGAATTAAAGAGTTGATTTTGGCTTGAAAATATGTAATTCATTTGCTCTCTTTTCTATGGACCAAAAAATCAATCAAAACACACAATATGTTTATGCAATATTACTAGGAAAAAGCAAAGTGGTTTTCCATTAATAAAGAACAGTAACTCTGTAAAACACATACTTCTGAGCTTAGTTGTAAACAAAGAATCATCCCATTGGAAGATGGCATCTTAGGAAAGCCTGACACCCATGATTACACAGATTAAGAATTCAGGTTCTGGGCTGGGAACGTGGCTCAAGCAGTAAGCACTCGCCTGGCATGCGTGGGGCACTGGGTTGGATCCTGAGCACCACATAAAAATAAAATAAAGATGTTGTGTCCACCGAAAACTGAAAAATAAATATTAAAAAAAACTCTCTCTCTTCTCTCTCTTTCTCTCTCTCTTAAAAAAAATCAGATTCTGAAGATAGAGAGCCCTTGGATCAAATCCTAGCTCTTCCACTTAGTATGTATTTAGCTTTATGCATATTATTTACGTGTCTAATTACAAATTTTTCCATTTATATAGAAAAGATAGTAGTACTTTCTTCACAGGGTTAACTAATGATAAAATGAAATTAACTCATATAATTCATTTAACATTGCACTTCTCAAATAGTAGAGTAGGAATTTGATGAACAGGAGCTGTGGACCTTAGACCCTTGACATCTAATTTTTATCACTCCACTGTAAATGCTGAAAGGAGTAAAAGCTTTAATGGATTAAATGTTTAAAAATTACATTCCTTGAGTTCTCTCTAGGACAATATTGAACATTTAAAAATATTTTCTAAAGACCAATGTTAGAAATGTAAGCATGAACTCAGACTAAAGTAAAAAAAAATAGTTTACAAAATTTGAAAGATGTACCTGCTAGTCACAAGCAGCTGGCACAAATTCACAGGATTCATCTGAGCAATGCCCTTTCACACGTCCATAATTGGCACTACCTGTATGTGGAAGAAAACAAGTTAATGACACATTTTCATGACCTTATTAATTTTAGTTTTTCTTTGGTCCTTACTTTCAAACCATAGAAACTACTTTTCTGCTCTATACCTTAAAGTAATCAATTGAAAGAATTATGGGATGCTTACAGGATTGCCAGAGAAGTTGTTGAATAAAATTGGAGACATAGGCAGGAATTAGGGAAGGTGAAGTAGCCATGTGTATAGTAACCTCAGCCTCTGCCACAGAACATTAAGTGCTTCTGTTGTACATAGATAGCAACAAACTGGGTGCTGCTGTCACTACTATTGCTGCATCTGTCAGAATGGATTCTACATAGCATCTGCATCACTGCATCTGGCATTCTAAAGGACAGACAGCATGCCTGATGGAAAGTCTGGGTCACAGACCCACAGTTGGTTACAGAGGAAGTTAATCAAACAAACACTTCGTATTTTTAACACTTATGATGGGAATTAAGCTCTGCCCTCTAGAAAAACTCTGCATGGAGTAAACTTTATAAATATAGAAAAAGGATTTAGAATTTCATCAGGAAAAAAAAAAGTTTTCTTGGCAGGAAAGATGAGAGAAGCTACACATTTTCCCTCTGACTCTCCATCTGAGTCTTTTTCCTCTTAAATCTTGATCTAAAAGTTTGGGGTAATAGCTCAGTGGTAGAATATTTGCTTTGCATACTCGAGACCCTGGATTTTATCCCCAGCAACTTCACCCCCTCAAAAAGTTATCTGTTCAACATTCATATTAAGTCTTTATTCTAGGTGGTTGTCAAGAGTGCCTGGGTTGTTTACCTTTCTAGGTCCATGAGGACAATATGTCTCAGTTCAATTCCATGACATAAAACTTATCTAATAGGACTTACACAGGCCCACTCTAAATCATAGGTAAGGAGAAAAAAACAGTTGGATTTGACAATACTAAAAAGTTAAAATCACTCAGCAGATCATCCCAAGTTTGAGACATTCTCTTGATCCTTGCCGGAGTCCTTTCACCCTTTAAGATACAGAATGTCTCTTCCCATCCTACTTGTAAAGGTAAGCTAACACAGGTGCTATTACACTTTGCTCTGAAACATGTTACATATATTTCTTATAGTTGCTATAATATTTAAAAGTTCTCTTTCAGCTTCTCTGCCCATTTCCCTCCCTAGCTCTTCACTTTCCACTGGTAGGTTTTTAGAAGATAAACATGTGACTTAAACTTGCTGTCTTCCTATTGACTACCACAATGCCTGAATCATAGCAGGTCATTGATAACTATCTGGTGGATGCTATCTAATTGCAAAATTGTGCAAATATTCAAAATGTAAGTGGATATACAGAGAAAATAAAAACACTGAATTACATAATGGCCACATCTTGCAAAGATCTCAATGAGATAATTTTGGATTATACACAACTTCTAATTACTTGAGCTGCAGGGTAGGAAAAAATTAAAGAAACTATAGATAATACAAAACTAGATAAAAGAAATTCGGAAATAGATATGGAAAGACTATGTCCCTTCCTAGGGAACACCAAAGGCAAAGAATTCAGGATATCCTTGCTTAATAATGCCTCATGCTTAACGCATATTTACTTTGTATGAATACTCTATTTGATATTTTCTTCTTTTACTTATTTCTCAAAAAATAAACTAGGTTAAAGGTGTTATTTTCACTCTAGAGCTAATAAAACTGGGGTGATTTCATAGTAATAGCAATGTTAAATTATTCACGATAAGCAAGAGCTAGCAAATCAATCCTCCCTACAAATCCCCAATAACTATTAAATTGTGTCCCTTATGAATTTTTCTATTACATCATTTTTTAAAAATAAAATTTTAAAAGAAAATACCAGATATCCTGTGACCTATTGCATGGGTTATAAGATTCACAATCTGTCACTGACCCCTAGAATTTATATATACACAGAAGCCTCCATTTTTCTTTTAAAAATTCCAAACTATTTTCAACAACAACTTTGTATATGGTATATATTATAAAACAAAAGTATTAATATTAACTATCCAACCAGAAGGAAAAATAGTTAGAATCAAAACAATACATTTCTCCTAGCTCTGTTCCTAGGATGGATCTACATAAGTAGTAATACAGATAACTATCTGGATTTTGCATAACTTTTTATTATATTTTAGCACATTATGATGATATTGAAGAAAAAAAACATTGGGGTAGGCAATGACTTACTCACTGGTCTTTTTTTGTGCAATCATCAGTTTCATTTGTTACTTTTCAATTACTGACCATTAAACATTAATTTACGAGTCATCCATATTTTCTTATTTAGATCTCCTAGGCAATATCCAGATAGTGGGCATCCATACTCTGCATTGTCTAACAAATTTATCAGGGTCCTTCAATGCTGCTTCTTTCCCTGAGCTCTTTATGATTTCAAAATATTCATGCTTGTGGGTGTCAGCAACACATTTATTTTTCAAAGGTTTTAGTTTCTGTACTGAAAAAAAAAATCCTAGACCCTTTAGAAAAGAGATTTGAAGACCTAAATTATTGTTTCTGTTTAAAAGCCTGTCTGATTCATCAGGCTGGGCCTACAAATTGTGGAGAGATAGTTCCATCTCATTTCTTTTTCTAACCCATTTATCAGCATTTTCTTGGTGAGTACAGCAATTCTATTACAACGGACTAGAGCTGAGGATTGCTGTGGAAGGCTCATGAGCACTCCTCATTCTCTTTTTCTAGGCTTAGATATGAACTTATTTCTAAAAATTAATTATTTGAATCGAAAGCCATTAGCTACCTGTGGTGTACTTAAAGTTTTCTACCAAATGTCCAACAGACAAGAATAAATATATGCAACCCTAAGCCTGGTCTAAGGATATAGCTTAACCTTGTCATAAGAGTCAGATGTCTTTAACAGTCACTGCTTTATTTTTAGAAATTAGAAATTTTGTTATCTATTTACTAGCAATGCATACATTTATTTTTAACATGAAACTTTATAGAATTACTGCTTAGTAAAATGTTCCAAAAGTTATATTTGATTATCCTCTCTCATCATTTTGTCCAATGCCAGTGACTTAGGAGCCAGTATCTCTGACAGTATCCTTGCTTAAGATCAACAGAGTTATATGAAAAGTAAATATTCTCCCAAAACAGGAACAAATCCTCTATGATTTTAGTGTTCTATTCCAGATGAATCAAACACATCATGTAATTGACCTAGTGTGTGAGGGAAGGCTATAATATGGAGTGAGCTAGGCAGTGATAAGTAATAGTAAACCATCCAAACATGTAATTTTAATATTTCTAACTTTCTTGTTGATAATGGAAATATTCAATAAATTGGTTTACATTTCAAGATCCTACAGAATTTTTTTT